AAGAAGTTTTCTGTAAATGTACTCTTTTTACGGATAGATACTTCTTGTAACTGTAATTATGTATTGACATTTCCTATAAATGTAGCCTTTTTTGAATATATTTCCTGGAATTTAACATTTTTGGACAGAAACTTCCTATAAATGTAATCATCTGCAGATGACTAAATTTACAGAAAGTTTCTATTATTAATGTTCTACAACCAGAGGTTAATTCTCTTTAAAATTACTAGGATTACAATCTTCTGCTATAACATTGTATAATACATTGAACTAATACTTACTGTTTTAAAACTACATATGTGATAATAATACTAGCTTTAACTAATATCATAAAACAGTTACATGATAGTAAATATTTAAACCAATGTTTATTATCATGAAAATCTTATTGGACTATATGCAATGTTGGGCTAAAATACACGTTACTGTTAATCAACACTAATACCGACTGAAATAAAACTACATGCAATAAGTTTCCTTAAACTAATATCTGTTTACTACGCAAAAACTATTTGCGCATAGCTGTCTCATTTTGAACTCATAGACTAGAGGGCAGTCAACAAATCAACAGAACCCACAGCCCTTGTACTACTTCTGTTTGGTTGAGTAGGAGGATCCGACTGTCACTTGTATAACGCGTTCACGACCCTAAATGCACAACGCGTTTTTGTGGGAACGGTCCGCTAACCATGAACCCTCAGAATAAGCAACAATATGCCACGCCGACTCTTTGTGCAATGAAAACTCATGAAGAAAATCCATACAGATCTATCCGTTTAGATTTAAATAAAACGGCTGGGCGTGCCCATACTATTAATCCGAGAATTCCGTTGTGCATTTAGTATTATAGGCGTAATATACAAGTGACGGTCAAATCCTATTCGGTCAGACAGAGTAGCCCAAAAGTTGGCGGTAGGTACTGTTAACTATAACTTCTTCCCCTCTAGTCTAACATTCCAAAATTAGGGACATTTATGCACAGATAGCGTTTTGTGTACTTTTATGCGAACACTGAAACAAACAAAATTTAAGTAAAATGCATGAACTTTTAAAGTTTTTTCAAACGTGTTAAATCAAAAGCTATTTTCCACTCTACTAGTGTCACAAGTTAGACAAGTAATTTGTAATTCATTATTTCCTCGAGACGGGAGACAATTAACAGCTGCTTTCCCAGAATCAGTGGTGTTATTAATAGCTTTGAAAAATGTTTATCATTTCAAAACATGTTAATTTAATTTGATAAGAGATGATTAAAAACATATAAAGGAAATACAGTAATGTGTTTTTCTTCTTTGCATGATTTTAAAACGCTGCAGGCACTTCTGTTCATCAAAGTAAAGAACTTACGAACGAGTCTGTTAGCTAATTAGGCTCTGTCTGGACATATTTCTCTTTAACTCTTCTCTTCATTATGATATTATGTATATATATGACAGTGTTAGTTTTGAATGGAAGTAAACGGGCATACTATAATACTATACTATAATTAGTACTCTAATAAAATGTATATCCTAAGATAAGGCATCATGTTATACATATCAGGAATAAATTCATGTTGAAAGGCGCTAAACGGCAGTCGGTTAATTAATTAATTTAGGTAAATTTAGCGTTTTTTAAATGTTTATTATAATGGAGAACACTTATTTTAGTTTGTTTGTTTGTTTTTGAATTTCGCGCAAAGCTACACGAGGACTATCTGCGCTAGCCGTCCCTAATTTACCAGTGTAAGACTAGAGGGAAGGCAGCTATTCATCACCACCCACCGCCAACTCTTGGGCTACTCTTTTACCAACGAATAGTGGGATTGATCGTCACATTATAACGCCCCCACGGCTGAAAGGGCGAGCATGTTTGATGTGACGGGGATCCGAACCCGCAGATTGCGAGTCGAGCGCCCTAACCACCTGGCCATGCCGGGCCATTTATTTTAATATTTTCATCCCAATCGACAGAGTACAAAGCAAATGTAATACCTTCCTATTTTTTCGTTAGAACATTTTACAATGCTATTCAGTTGCAGTACAGTAAGAAAATAGTTACTATAGATATGTTAGAACTTTCTTCTATTGTCATGATAGTAATATTTAAAATAAAATGTAATGGATCCGTGATAATTATTAACTTCTGATGAAAACAAGCTACTTGCATAGATCAGAACTAAACACTAACACAATGATGATAATAGCTAATACAATATACCGGTATTACTTATAATTCATGTTTTCTTGTCACAAACCTTCCTCTCATATCTTATATTTATATGGTATTTATATTATCCTTTATCCACAGGCATTATTGACTTAGTAAAAACAGATAAGCATTATTCCAATAATATTATCAAATAAAATATCTTTACTGAGTATGAAAACTTTCATACTCTTATCTAAACATACCCCATATAAACATACACATATCACCATTAAGATAAGACTAAAAATTCGAAATTTCCATTACCAAAGTAAGTAGATGACCTCGTTTTACATATATAGCTTTCTTCTCACTCTGAATGCAATACACGTTATATTAACACATCTTATACTTTTTATGGTGCAAATAATAACTTTTCTTGTTTGTTTGTTTTAGAGTAAAGACACATTGGACTATATACTGTGTCCACTGCGGGCAATCGAACCCCGAATTTTAGCGTTGTAAGTCCATAAACTTACCGCTGTCCCACCGGGGACATTAGTTTTCTTTCCCACACACAAGTTTGTAGACAAAGTAAATTAAAATCATTCTGTTTTAGAATCCAGTTTCTTTCTTAATCGTTCTAAATGTTCACCTGAAATACGTGATGTTCTGTGTCTTCCACATGTATATATAACTTAAATATCTTACGTACGACCGTGTCCACACTGAAACTAAGTTATTTAAAAAAAGACCGGACAATTCAGCACTACACAAACATGTTACAGACACTTATTTTGTTTACATAAAATCAAGACAAATTACTTACAGTTCTTTATCTTCCTATAGTAAATGCTTATTATTATTATACAGACAACTTTTTAATATAAATAACCTAAAACAAATACTTAAATTCTTTCTTTTACAGATATGAAATGAGAGGAAAATATGTTGTGTAATTCATGCGAACATTCCAGCTTGATATAGTGTGGAAAGCATCGAGTGACTTTTTTCACTGTCCAGAATTTAAATGTAGTGTAATGTAAACGTTCTACATAACAACATGTAACTTACACTTCTGCATTCAAATATAGCTATCATATGTCGCAGGTTCTTACTACTTATATACTTCGCAATTCATGTTGGCAAGCATTTACTTATTGCTATCTCTCAAAATCATTCGCAAAATATATTAGATGGAAAAAATATATTTAAATTCACAAATACTATAACAGTAACTAGTTAAGTAGGCAAGTTCATAACTTAATATTTTCAACGTTGACCCATAATGTAACTCTTACCTGATGATGACTGTGGGTCGAAATATTGTAATTACTAAGATCAGAATTTGCCCATTGTAAATTTTGCTGTTATTGTACTTGCGAATTGATTAACCAGTTCAGTAGGTTCTTCACTAAACATTATTCTATATTTTGTTCAATTTTCAGATCTACGTAATTCTTGGTTGCACGATGTTTCATTTTCTACATAAAAGTTAAACCTTGTCTGTTACAAAACTCTTTTATACTCGTTATACTCATACTAATTTTTCTAGACCATCCTATTGGTTATATTATCCATAGAAAATATACAAGTTTTATAAGCTATAATATGCTTTATTTGTAAACAATGTTCAGTATGTTTTCGAATAGTATGTTTCATAGTTTATGTAAAAAATATGCAAAAGGTCTTCCGATTATGAAGTTATATAAACATTTCCCAGGTTTTACATAATTAAAACAATTATCTATTGTTTATAAAAACACACATAATAGAATATCAAGTTTTTCATTATGAAGCTGTTTGTAATGGTTTATGTCTTTCTAAAAAGTGAAGGTTTCATTGGTGTGTTTACAACAAATAGATATTAGAATGCAAAGTGGTTTTAAGACTATCTTACCTGCCAAGTTCTTGTATTTAGTCTTAGAAATCTATCAAACCAACTATGGTAAAACCTTTAATTTATGAAAAAACGCCATGCATCTTCCATGGCCATTGGACATGAAGCTCAAGCTTGCGAGGAAAGCTTTCTCGATACTGAAATGGTAGGTAGAATCCAATCAGCATTGGCGGCGCTAGTAGTGAGCTTTTCAGATGACAAGAAGCATGGAAAACACGCGGGAAATAATGTGATTAGGGGCGCGCACGGTTAACAGACGGGATATAAAAGTAAGAGGGTTTGACTGGAATTTTCCGAAGATACACAACGACAAGCAGCAAACTGTCACCGGATACAAACCGCAGTATCGTTCCAATCAAAACAAGGTTATGGCAACTGTAATCAGCGTGAGTTATGGTGACATGAAGGAAGAGATAGTGTGGTAATTCACATTTTACAGCCAACGTTTTAATCATATTTGGTGAGCTGCTATTTTCACCAAATCCATCGACAGTATAGAAGAACTTGAAACAGTAATTCTAAATAAATCCATACGAAAATTTTAAACCATATTATACAAACTAGTGGAAGATCTTCGAAGTAATTTGTGACCTTTCGATCTTACCAGATCTACTGGAGATGCTAAATAGATCATTTGTGACCTATTTTTGGAACCGCACTTATTGAAGAACTCAAAATTCTACTAATTTCTATTGTTATTTCTGAACACTCTTTGGAGATTTTCGAGCATATTTGAAATTAATTCTGAGGGTTTCAATACATTAAGCAAAGAGCTCTTCTGACAGGAGTTTGGAATCTACAAACAAGAGTAAAAACTAAAGTTGTATGTTATGACTAATATATTTCCAGTTTAGATCTACAGATCAGTTTTATTAGGATGCTTGCTTTAGTTTTCATAAAGTAATTATCGGTTTTCATAATTGTCACCCTACACTTAATAACAAGACTTACAAATAATCTGAAAAGTGAGACTATGGAACAGTTGGCAGAATTTGTGTCCAAGTCATTTACCACTAATGATAGGTCGACTTTGACTGCCTCCCTTCCTCATCCCTGTTTAACCACTGCTCATACTTTTACAAGTCACCTTCCTCTGCACCCTCCCGGGCCACGAGGACTCAGCACTGTTATGAACAGACTAATGCTCCCCCACGTCTTCCATCCAGGGTTTCCAAGCCCCTCACCACTGACCACATCATCCTTGGTCAGTCCGACGGTCAGTAGCCATAGTTATGGTGATGATGAAGATTCCGGAGAGCGTAAAGGTAAGAAAATCTACTTATCATCGACCTAGGATACGCAACAAAAGTACGTTTAAAAATAAAGTTTAGATTACGCTGAAATAAAAAGGTTGTCTTACTTTAAAGACTAAAACAACTAAAGTAATGAAATTTCCGGAAAAGGTCATGTTTTACTTTATGTTGTTGTTTTAGCGCAAACTACACAACGGGTTATTTGTGCTCTGTCCTCCGCCTGGAATAGAGCCCCGGATTTTAGTGTTGTAAGTCTTTAAATATACCGCTGGTCCACCAGAAGATTTTATTTTGTGCATGATATGGTTACAGAACTAAGTGTGATTTAAACATGAAGCTGATTTGGGTAATTTCAGGCATCAGTTTGTGTATGAGCAAGGTGTTTCTATACGAGAGCTCTGTTCATCACTGGATCTTTATAAAATAGTCATCAGTTTGTGTATAAGCAAGGTGTTTTTATACGGGAGCTCTGTTCATCACTGGATCTTGATATAATTTCAATGGACAGCTATGCCACACACATCTAGACACTTAATCTAGTCATAAAAACTTATAAGTTTTCTTTTTAGTGGACTCAATATAACTCTTCTGACGGCAAGGACAAGTAAATTTATAGACTACATTTGACGACCTTGATGCAAGAATACGATTCTAAAACTAAAACAAAAGAAGTCGACCATTTGACTTAAAAATGCATTTCAACTGTATTTGAGGATGTACCCTGCGAAGTACATTTCTTAATTTTTAATATTCAACTAATATTTATCCATATGTATGGCAAAGTTATAACAGTGGAATATTTAAGAACTTCGTATATACGAATGGTTTACTAAAACTACACATATTCAAATAGTTACAAAGTTTTCTATCATTAAGTATACAAGGAGAACCATTTTTACACAAGGGTTCTTTGATATAATTAAATTCCTTATGCGAAACTTCATAAGTATACGATATTTTATACTTACAGTGAAATCAAAAATTAATCAAGTTTTCTTTAAAAACACTAGGTACAAAGCTTACAAACTTAGAATACAAGACAGTAAGCGTTTTCTTCATTGTATACTTTACATCGGAAGAGACCACCAATATTATGAAATAATGTGTCAAGAAAGAGTTGAAGTTCAACAGTATATATCATACTATTATGTTTACTGTTGAAGAACTCCAGAAACTAATAAACTTGATGAGAGTTTCTAAAAATGATAAAACTATCATCAGCATATCTACGGAAGTAAAGTAGTTTTAAAATCTCATTATTTTTCGTGATAGCGCAGAAAAAGATTGGTCAAAGAAGGTGCCAATCTGGAAACCACAGCAACGTGATCACTCTGATCATAAAAGTTGCCATCATGCTGAAAATGCGATTCCTTTGTTGCAAAATTCATTCCAGTTATTTTAAGCTCTTATCAAGAGCCAATGAAGAACAGAACCACGGTATAAAACAGACCTTGTTCATACACAGAATGACGACTGAAATTAACCAAGTCCGCTCCGCATTTAAATTACTTTGGGTTGTATAACTTTAATTTGTGATTTTCTAAGTGTAAAAGGATAAAATAAATCATAATGATTAAGCGCTACGCTCAATAGAAACATTTACGTTATATTATAAAAAAATCGAGAAAGTTGTGAAAGTGCAAATTTAAAAACTAGTTTGCATCTTCGTTTAAGAAACGCTGCATTTTGAATAAATAGTGATGCAACAAAGTAAGAAAAGAAACCCTTTATGAAGAAGAGATCTTGGAGAAACCATAGAAAAACACGTTATTAGTTAGAGATCTTGGGCAGAATCAGTGTCAGAAATATTGATAATACACATTAAGAGATGAGAAATTAAAATGATAATACTAATAAAACATCCTAAGAGCTGCAACTGGATTTTCAAGTAGTTAATAATATCTAAATTACCGTGTCCTTAGAAACCTTTCCCATCCCTAACTAGACAATAATACATTGTTCTTATAGCTTTGTTTGTTGTTAAGCATAAAGCTACACAAATGGGCTACCTGTGTTTTACCACCGCAGAAATCGAAACACGACTTACCACCCAACCACAGAAGCATCTATATATATGTAGTGAAGTTACCCAATATTAATAAATTGTTTATTCGTTGTGAAGATGATAAATTGCATCATATATTTGTTATTAAAAACTTTTACCGTTACTATCTAGATATATAATAACACATTGTATCTAACTTTACTGAATTTACACGATACTGAAAACTGTTTATTTGTTCTGAAGATGAGAATTTCATCAGATGTTATTAAAAACTTTTACCGTTACTATCTAGATATATAATAACACACAGTACCTAACTTTACTGAAGTTACACGATACTGAAAACTGTTTGTTTGTTCTGAAGATGAGAATTTCATCAGATGTTATTAAAAACTTTTACCGTTACTATCTAGATATATAATAACACACAGTACCTAACTTTACTGAAGTTACACGATACTGAAAACTGTTTATTTGTTCTGAAGATGAGAATTTCATCAGATGTTATTAAAAACTTTTACCGTTACTATCTAGATATATAATAACACACAGTACCTAACTTTACTGAATTTATACGATACTGAAAATTGTTTATTTGTTCTGAAGATGAGAATTTCATCAGATGTCATTAAAATTTTTACAGTTATTAATTACACTATAATAAATTGTACTGAAAGGCCTGATGAAGTTACACTGTATAGGTAAAAATGTCAATTACTTTTATAGATGTGAACTTGTAAATAAATGTATCATTACAAAGTTTTACTATTGTTAACTGAATAGTAAACTATTGTCCCCAGCTCTAGGGAATTTATCCTACCGATAAGTTCTGATTTATTTCTGTAGTAAACTTGTAAATAAATGTATCCTTACAAAGTTTTACTATTGTTAACTGAATAGTAAACTATTGTCCCCAGCTCTAGGGAATTTATCCTACCGATAAGTTCTGATTTATTTCTGTAGTAAACTTGTAAATAAATGTATCCTTACAAAGTTTTACTATTGTTAACCGAATAGTAAACTATTGTCCCCAGCTCTAGGGAATTTATCCTACCGATAAGTTCTGAATTAATTCTGTAGATCTGAATTTCTATAACAGGCACTTTATTAATTATATAACAAACCACTATCCCAAGTGTAGTGAAGTAATCATGTACAGACAAAATGTCGGTTAGTCTATCGATGTGAATCTCTACATAAACGTGTTCTTAGAAGCTTTTATTATCTTTAGTTATAGTAATCAAGGACCGTTTCTAGCTTTACTGCAACATCTTTCTTGAGATAGGTTCTCAGCTATTCTACACATGTGAATCTGCTACCTTAGAAACTTTTACCGATTTTGACAATAGTATATAATTGACCTTAAGTCTCGTATAATTACCCTGTGCAGATGAAATGTGAGCTACTTTCAGAGAGTTGACCTCGATTAAGTAGTCGTGTCGTTAGTAGGCTTTACTGTAGTTAATTAGTTAATAAACAAACTGTAGTAAAAATCATCCTGTAGAGACAAAGATTTCATTTAGTTCCATAGAGATGTCCTATAAATAATCGTCTCTATTGGTAATTAATTAATAACTCGTAGTGAATTGTTCCATGGACGTAATAATTATATCAAAGTGTTTTTAGAGTGTTTTACTATTCTTAACTTCTTAAAAACTATTCTCCCAGCTGTGATAAACTAAAAACGTCAGTTCTATGGAAATGATCTCCAAATAATAATGTTTTACTATGGTTACTTTAAGCATTTCATTAGAATATTTTAACATGTTTAACAGTCGTACCCAGCCACTTCTATTGAAGTTAACCTGTAGAGATATTCACAAACTATAATTCACAGGTGAAGATATTGGATTCATCTTTATCTGAAAGTAACAACGTACAAATAAATATATCACTGTCACGATTAAATGTAAAAAAATACTACACATCAAAGTAAACATATTAGTTTCAAAGGATTAATACTGATTTCTACCTACAACTATTATTATTATGAGCCTCTTATACATTACCGGGACTAATAACCACTGCTAATTTACTGGCAGTATATACTAAAACTCAAGTTTCATAGATGGCAGGGTTTGCTCTCTTACTCTGGAAATATTTGTGCAATTAATGAAATGTATGACTAAAATCAGAGATAACAGAAGGCAATTGGTGTGAAAATATATTGTAAGTGATATCATAATTGATATTTATATCCTGAAAAAAAGTATCATTGTATAGATATATGTACATCAAGGTTGCTCATACCGAATAAATGATAAAAAATTGTTACAAACCACCCAAATTATTTGTCGGACTTAAATATATGAACATCTTTAAACACTAATAAATGCTTGTTATCTCTATTCTATACATGCGCTATTGTTTATCTTCTGCATAGTTTGGCTAGTTCATTATATCTCCTGCACAGTTTGGCTAGTTAATTTGATAAGATAAAAAACACCGAAATTGTATGACTCACGCCTCATAAAAATATTTATGATGTTATAAAGTAGAATAATTCCAATAATACTTTAGTATTCTGTAGATGTACATTACTGCTAAAACATCCTCCCAACTACTTTTACCAGGACATAGCGATCAACTGCATAAAGAGAATGGTAACAAATTGCTACTTGGCAACCAATTTGTTTTACTTGTTTTACAAATTAAAAGTCCGGAAACTTGCAACTGACCTTGATAACAAACAATTCGACATGTCCAAATTATGTTTAAAATGTCATGTTACCACAAAATTCCTTTTGTTGTATCATTTGTGGAAATCCTAAATATTTATAGAAATAAATCCTTTATTTCCTGAGCCTTGCGTCTGTGAAGCTAATGTGAACAAACTTGATACATTTTAGAGTTTAACGAACAAAACTATATTACTGAGATCGGATGATGGTCAGCAAAACAATGAACACATCTCTTCAATTCATTGTGGGCCGTCTTATCAGACATTTTTCTTCCGCCAGGAGAGCGCAGGGAATTAATATCCGTTAGTATGCAAACGTCGTGGGAACCAAAGTGAAAAACAAATCAAAAATGGCATCTGAAGATGGGCATGATTTCCAAGATCTTGTTGTTACGCTACAAATCCGGCCAAATCTTCCCGGGGGTTTAGAGCGTCTATGTCTATGTGAGAAATTGACATCACTTAAATTCATTCAGAAACAAATGCAAACTGTATGCTTTAAAACGTACAACGTGATTCATCAAATATTGTCTATTTCTGGAAGCCGTGCGCGCCTTTTGGCACTTTTATTTTTCCACAGGGAAGTTCTAACAGTAAAAAAAAAAAGATCAAAGATCTTCGTATTTTGTGCATTTATTTTTCTAGTTAAATTGATTTTTTTTTATTATTTTGTGAGTAAAGCCATGATTGAATATGGAAGTCACTAGAATGAGATAAAACTGGAGATTGATAGTTAGGGTAACGAAAAAGCTGGAAGATTATTTGTATTCTGGTAAAAGTGCTCATCTATGCAGAAAATATCAGGAAATGAATTATTGCGCTCACTAATATGATAAACATAACATTTGTTTAATAAGTGTTAAAAACACATTCTTCACCAGCTGTTTAATACAACTTGAGGAGAGTAAAGGAACGGTACTGTCACACACTACGATGGTTATTCTATAGAACAGATAACAAGAATCTTTAAAAAAGAGCTACCAAATAAAATTGTACTTTTCTTTTATGTTATATTCACGATGTTTTCTAATATAATATATATAAACTATGATTTCATAATTAACTTATTGTTTGTTTGATTTAGAGCAAAGTCATCTTGGGCTATCTGCTGTATTGAATCCCGGATTTTAGCGTTGTAAATCCAAAGACTTACCGCTGTCTCATCGGGAGACTAATAATTAAGTTTGTTTTTGTTTGTTTCTTTGTTTGGAATTAAGCCCAAAGCTACACAATGGGCTATCTGTGCTCTGCCTAACACGGATATCGAAACCCGGTTTCTAGCGTTGTAAGTCCGCAGACATACCGTCGTGCCACTGGGGGGCAATAATTAAGTAATCTGCGTCATGTGGAAGGCCATGCGTCTATATTTATATGTGGCCAATCCTGGGCCTTTTTTATGAATAAAGATATCTAGATAAATAGATGTATGCCACAATAGCTTTCGGTTTATAGCAACTCACACCTGACATCGATTATATATATAACAGATTCTTGATAAAGTAAATGTAGGCGCGAAATGGCAAGTAAAAACAGCTTATGATTTTGGATGCTGGCCAATCTCTTGGTTGTGTCTATACGTTTTGTATTTTTAGAAGTTATCAGTATTTTAAAACGTTCAGAATACTGACTAGAAATGCTATAAACGTAAACTATGAGTCTTGTACAAAAGCTGATGAAATATAATTTCGACTGTGTTCCTAAGAAAGCAACACAAGAAGGTACCGACGAACTAATTTAATGACACTATTGCAAACAAACTAGAACTATTTAATAGTATGAACCAATTCACAATAAAACTTCATTTTGCTGTTAAGCACAAAGCTACACAATGAGCTATCTGTGATCTGCCCACTGCGGGTATCTAAACCCGATTACTTAGCGTTATAAGCCCTCAAACTTACCGTTAAGCCATCGAGGGGCAAAAGTGTATTGAATCATCAGTTGGATACCCTTGCTATTAACGATATTTTCCGCTGTAATCTCAAGATAACAATGTATGACAATTTGTGTAATCAGGAAAAAGTATCATGTTGTTTGAAATATTAATTATGTAAGCTTTGATACTGACAGGATATCAAGTAATGTAGTCATATATGAAGTATATTTTAGAGAAAAAATATATAAAATCAAAATAGGATCAAACGATTTTTGTTTAAAAAAATATTTCTTTAAAACTTTCAAACGTTTGAATTTGTTTTAATCACTCCAACTACTTTCCACTATAACACACATTGTCTCTCATTGTATCCAATGAACAAGACGAAAATATTACGTAAAACGTGAATACTTTAGAAGACACTACACGGTGTATATGAAGCACAAAAACATGTAACTAGTTCCTTTTTAATGTCAAATTTACTTCATATATTAATTTTGCCCCTTCACACTTCCTATATAACATGCATTTCGGCTTCTCTGCTCACATCAGGTTTTGCTTATTATGCAGATGTGTAAAAAACGTAAGATGTACATTTACAGTTTATACTAAAGGGTTCTGAGAGACGTCTGGAGCTAATGGTAACAAATCTAATAACCATAATAATATGCTACTTAACTAGTCACAAACACATGAAACACACTCACAAGTTAAACATAATGTGTGGTGGAAAAGTTGTAAAAAGCTTTTTGTTTTCATCCTAGAGTAATTTAGTAGGTTCTTGCACCTCCACAGGATCTCCTTCTTCAGCCAGGTCAACTCCATCTACGCCTTCAGAAAGAAAAGGAGATAGGAAACCAAATATTACATCAGTAACTAGCACTAAAGAAGCAGAGAGAGTCTCTGATGAACAAGGAGATCAGTCTGAAGCTGACAGTTGTACTAATCCTTCAGAAGAAAATCTTAAACCAGAAGAGAACAAGGAAACCGCTAATAGCAAACCCAGCACCCACTCACCGGCACACTCTGTAGATACCGTTAACTCTCATTCTTCCAAGTCCGCCAAACAGCGCCGTTCCAGAACCAACTTCACTCTGGAGCAGCTGAATGAACTGGAAAGACTATTTGATGAAACTCACTACCCTGATGCTTTCATGAGGGAAGAACTGTCACAGAGATTAGGACTGTCAGAGGCTCGTGTACAGGTATATATCCATTATATTATTATGCTAGCTAGTATATGTCAATAACAACTCAGATCTGAATACTTCCAATTAAACTCTATAAACTCAAATAAACGTACATGTATCGATTTCAGTAGCTTTAGATTAAACAAGAAAACGTACTTGTGTCGAGCATAGTATATAAGAAATATTAACTGAAACTTAAGTGTATCGATGTCAATGGTTTTATATTAAACCAGAATTCTTAAAGGAAACTTAAGTGTATTGATGTCAGTGACTTTAGATTAAACCAGAAGTCTTAAGGGAAACTTAAGGGTATTGATGTCATCACTTTGAGAACTTGTACAACTTGTATCCAGCAAGGTCTTTACTGTCTGTTTTACCAGTAACAAGAGTTTAAACGCAGCTTGGACCAGCAAGGTCTTTACTGTCTGTTTTACCAGTAACAAGAGTTTAAATGCAGCTTGGACCAGCAAGGTCTTTACTGTCTGTTTTACCAGTAACAAGAGTTTAAACACAGCTTGGACCAGCAAGGTCTTCACTGTCTGTTTTACCAGTAACAAGAGTTTAAACGCATCGTGGACCAGCAAGGTCTTTACTCTCTGTTTTACCAGAAACAAGAGTTTAAACGCAGCTTGGACCAGCAAGGTCTTTACTGTCTGTTTTACCAGTAACAAGAGTTTAAACGCAGCTTGGACCAGCAAGGTCTTTACTGTCTGTTTTACCAGTAACAAGAGTTTAAATGCAGCTTGGACCAGCAAGGTCTTCACTGTCTGTTTTACTAGTAACAAGAGTTTAAACGCATCGTGGACCAGCAAGGTCTTTACTGTCTGTTTTACCAGTAACAAGAGCTTAAATGCAGCTTGGACTATACGTTTTAGCTTAAATAAGAGCCTGTATCGACTATAACTGAGTCCTGATACCATCAGGAACAAAGAGAGAGAACGAACAAAACCTGGATATATGTATTCTCAACTCTTAAGTATGTCATCTCATAATCTTTAGAGTGTTTAGCCTGCTTAGAATAGGCACTGGGAGCAAAGGCCCACACTCTTTATCAACATTATAGCATACACGTTCACATAAATTAATACTTTCAATGATATAGGAACAATAAATAGATTTGTTGGAAAGTCAGTATACGTTAGACAAGGAAATCATCGTTAGACACTTTTTAATAGACCAGACGATGTGTTCAATAAGACAACTTTTTACTCTTACTATAGAGCTTTACATTTAAACAAGCTTCACTGATCGGAATATCACGTATTAAAATGTTATGTTGTGATTTAAAGAAGAAACACATATCACTAAAATGTCCTCCGGTTTTAATCTCCTACGACGTGAGTTTCTTCATTGTGGTTCACAGAACTTGAAATGATAATACAGTTTGCTTCTCTTTTTTAATTATCTGGGTTTGATTTATTTTTCGCTCACACAGTTTTTCCTATTTTCTATGGCATCTGATACATCAGTGTCGGTTTTTACTAAATTTAAGCATTTCCCATGAGAATGATGATTTATCAATCAGAATTTTAAGTATTCCAAATATCAAAGTTTCCACCTTCATAAGGAATAAGAGTACAAAAACAAAAAAAGCTCAACACCTCATTTTCCTTCTAGTGACTATCATCTGTTATTTTGTCTATAAAAACGCTCTGTTGTTTCAAAAGTACTCTCTGTCAAGTGATTGGATATCACAAGCTATGTAGCTAGCGAGACGGTACCTACTAACGCGCCTCGCGTGTCTCAGCTTATTCGGGTGAAATCGCTAAGGGCAGCAGGTTTGTCAATTAACTCTGGCTTTTACGAAGATTAAATCGTTGTTTCCGTAATGCGCCTTTTAAGGAGGCTGACCCTTTTCATTTAGCCAACTTAATTGGTCAGAGAGGTCACTCAGGGCCCTGGGGTGATAGGCAGCACGTGCAACCCGACAATACAACGTCTACCGGCCGCGTAAGGAAAAAAATACGGCCGTTTCCCATTTGTGCGGCCACTGTTTCAACGATCTGTTTATTCGTCTATATTGATAGAGTTACCAAAAACAAAGTTTATACCTCTTTTAAACCACCTTACTAGTCTTCACAAGCCTATTCAATGTCCCTAATCAATTTAATATGGGGAAGAACAAACAAAGAAACAACTGTTTGAAATCACTGAAGAATCTTTATATTTAATCACTTTAAATATTCCTGATAGCGAATAGTTTTACCACAATGGTGAATTTTAATTTTCCCAATCACTTTTACTTAATGAAAAAACAATATCGGTTCCAGTTTCAAATAACTTGTTAAGTTATACAAAAATAACGTTTGCATTTCTTCTTAAACAATGACACGCATACAAAAAATCATTCACGTGAAAAGGCAAGCAGTCAGGTAACTAACTATGTGCTTAAAAATTGATAAAGTCTGAGTAGTAGAAAACACCACAATGATAACACATAAAAGATCACTCTTTTCACGACAACATACCCATGAAAACAGTAACCAAGTATTTTATATGCGTGGATCTGAACAGTACAGTTTTAACATGTAAACCTAAACAGTCCAGTCTTCCATACTTACATGTAAACCTGAACAATTCAGCGTTCTATACTTACACGTAGACCTGAACAATTCAGCGTTCTATACTTGCGTGTAGACATGAACAGTCCAGTCTTCTGTACTTACATGTAAACCTGAACAGCTCAGTTTTCTATATTTGCGTGTAGACCTTAACCATCTAGTATTACATATTTACATACGAACAGAAATAGTCCTGAATTCTATGCTGACATGTAGAAATGAACAATACATACCTACACATGGATATGGATAGTTTGCCCTGGTAAAACAATAAAAGTAAATATGAGGATGAATTTGACTTTATCAGACCAGACTTCTAATAGTAATACACACACATTTGGACACGAATGGTCCACCTCATTAAAGTTTCATGTAGATAGGAACAGACTAGACTCCTAATAAAATAACAGAACTCGCATGTAGACCAGGACAGGTTAGCTTGGCAATGAAAATATATTTACATGAATTATTGAAGAGAGAAGTCTTGTAATAACAATACACTTATGACGCTATATTTATATATGGATCTGAACGGACTCGTTTTCTTATAACAATATACTCACCTATGTACATTACCAGTCCAGCCTTCAAAGCACTCACATGTGGAGAAGTCTCCTGATAACAATATCCTCACCTATGTACATTACCAGTCCAGCCTTCAAAGCACTCACATGTGGAGAAGTCTCCTGATAACAATATACTTAAATATGTATAAGAGCATATTAACTTTCTAATAGCAAAATACTTACGTGTAAAATCAGACTTTTTAATAACAACATAGTTATCCATGGACATGAACATTATATTTGTAGATGAGGATCTGAACAGTCCATTCCGCTGTACTTCATTTGGAAATGATGAGACCACTCTTCTAACATCCATATATTTCTACATGTATAAAATCTGATAAGCCTTCTAAGAACATGACTTTTGCATGTGGACCTTGACTGACCAGTTTTCTAATAAATTATACTTACAAGTGGACATTTGTAAGTTATCTAACTAAGAACATACATTGAAATGGACAGGACAGAGAAGCCTTTGGAATTATTATAGATAAGTAAATAGACAGACACTTAGGTTTTACTCGTTTATAAATATAAATACAAAACTTATTCATAGCTGTATAACATAGCTATATAAGGTTTACTACATAACCTCCTTTAAAAAATGGAGTAATGGATACATACTACAATATTTGAATGATCATATCTATATTAGAAATAACAATAATGTATCTTTTGACATCAGGCAGTGTTTATATATATATATGTATTTGGAGTGTTACTGTCTCAGGGATAATTGCCAATCATCCAACTGGATAATTATCATCTTCCATTATTTTAGCTTATGCAGCTGTATTAAACCTTGATTTAATCTAATAAAATAGATTTCCCCTACTTAGCCAATGATGCAAATACGCTGATAGGGAAAACTCCTCCCTCATTATGCGTCACCCTTTTTGGCAAACGGAATAAAAGAATGAAATGAAAGTTGCTCTCGTTAATATCATTAAGACAACGAGTCTAGAAGCCTGATGCGGGGTCCTGGGGGCGAAGGAATTAAATTAGAGAAGCAGTATTCTGTCCAAGTCGTCACAAAGCTCGGGGATTTACATAATTCCAGACTAAACGGTCTAGTGCAAACTATTCATTACAAAATTGCCGTTTAACAAGATTGAATTTATCAGTAATAAGTGGCCTCGCTAATGCAATCGTGTTGATGAAAGAAAATACGGATATTTCCGCAGAGTCATTAAGTCTGGGCTGGATAAGGACATGATTAATAACCGCCACTGTGCGTCCATAATAAACTTCTCCTCAAGTCCTTGTTCAACGCGTGTAGTGTTGGAATGGTCCCCGCGAGGCCGCGTGCTGTGCGAAGTTAGTGATCACTGGCGCGTGCTTGTCAACACTTTGTTTACGACGCCAACATTGACATAGAAATGAGAGTTGACACTTCTAATGATAACTATTCATTTTCCTTTGTTTAGGTTTGGTTTCAAAACAGAAGAGCGAAGTGTCGTAAGCACGAGACCCAGGTGCAAAAAAGTAAGTGTACAGTGGATTCGACAGTTTAAATACTGTAACCTCTTCTAAACTTTTATTGATAATTGTCCCGAGCGATGCCAGTGGACACTTGGTAAAAAAAATCGCGGACTTCTGCTCACAGAAACTTCTATCACTATGTCAAGAATGTATACAGAGTTCTGTGAAGTATAGAATAATTATTTTAAAAAAGAACAGTAAAACATGACATCATGCGCTTCTGTTTAAGAATTAAATGCTCAATATTTGAAAAGAAACATTAAGGTTGAATGGGATTTTCGTAGTTTTTGTTTTGCTTATTAAGCAAAAACTTTGTATAACAAACACGATAACTATAGATGATAATTACAACACTTCCATTACAATCACCAATAAATAAAAAACTTCTTTAAACGTATATTAAACACCTTTATCCAGATCTTATTAGGTCGAATCTATAAAACATCTTTTATTGTAAGGTCTTTAACTTTTTGGTGCAGTAAAACATACACTGAGACATGCTGTCAAATGTCGCAAAACTCCAAAGTTTGGTTTGGCTTGTTTTCAATTTCGCGAAAAGCAGTGAAATTTAGTAGTAGAAGGCAGCTAGTCACCACCACCCACCGACAACTCTTGGGCTACTCTTTTTACCAACGAATAGTGGGATTGCGAGTCAAGCGCCCTAACCACCTGGCCATACCAGGCTCCAACTCCAAACCACATATTAGATATATTTACGTCCAATACAACAGTGTTTAATGTTAACTTTAAAATGTTGAAGTTAATATTCACTGAAGTATTATCATTAGTAGAAACAAAGATAAAAAAGCACTTGAACTTCGTTACATCATTGTTTGAGAGCTTATAAAGTTAAAAATCGAGTTTCGATACCTGCGGTTAGCAGAGTACAGATAGAACTTTATGCTTAACACTTATTAGCATACAAAGAATAAAAATCTACACCATATTTATAGGTTTCAGTTCATGTTATTTATAAAGCAAGTCAAAATTTGGCAGCAGTACAGCAATGATATTTTAATTTCATTAACAGTACTACCCTAGCTGTTACAAAGCTCAACCCATGCGAAATTAACAGTACTACCCTAGCTGTTACAAAGCTCAACCCATGCGAAATTAATAGTACTACCCTAGCTGTTACAAAGCCCAACCCATGCGAAATTAACAGTACTACCCTAGCTGTTACAAAGCTCAACCCATGCGAAATTAACAGTACTACCCTAGCTGTTACAAAGCTCAACTCATTCGAAATTAACAGTACTACTCTAGCTGTTACAAAGCTCAACTTATGCGAAATTAACAGTACTACCCTAGCTGTTACCAAGCTCAACTCATGCGAAATTAACAGTACTACTCTAGCTGTTACAAAGCTCAACTCATGCGAAATTAACAGTACTACCCTAGCTGTTACCAAGCGCAGCTCATGCAAATTAACAGTATTACCCTAGCTGTTACAAAAGCTCAACCAATGCGAAACTAACAGTACTACCCTAGCTGTTACCAAGCTCAACTCATGCGAAATTAACAGTCATACTTACAAATTGATGTAACTGCAGTAGAGTAGCACTCAGTTTATCACATGGATCAAACTTAAATTTTTTCTTACAGTTGGTTTTTTATCACTTCAACTCCAAAGAAAAATGAAAGTTATAATTCGGTTATAATTTTTATTACTTTGTTTGAGTGTTTTTTAACTATAATTTTACTTGAGAAAATAATCTTTTCTTTTTTGACTTACTGTTTGGATATGACTAACCTAACTTTCCTACTATGGCCTAGCTTCATGAGATATTATTAGGATTATGGCTGAAAATATAGTTAACAATGAGGGTACCCAAATGTTCATTCATTTAAACCTAATCATTGGATAACTTTAAGCCTTAATTTTCTTATGTACTGAACTATCATATTAAAAGTATATCAAGTTAAATTATTATACCGAACTGCCTTTAAAGTCAGTTATTTTATTTGTCATCTATATGGTATTTTAAATTTAATTAGTTCTTATCTGTATAATTAGCTTACGTTTCATAATAAGTTCTTAGTAATTTGCTATTTCAAATTCAGCGTAAACAAACAATCACTTAATGTCAAGTAGGATTAACAGCTAGAATAGGATCACTTAATGCTACGAGAAACACAACTGTATATTACGTTAAAATGCAGCAGTGTTATTATGAAGCAGCTATATGTAACAAAGCTGGTTAGAAATGATGTAACATAAAGGTAACTACGAACATATAATTAGCTTTATGAAATATTACATTTTTGAGAGTAATATAGTTCAGGCATTCAAACGCAATGCTGTATTTTCGAGAGTTATAAACTTCAGGCATTCAAACGCAATGCTGCATTGTTCTTCTATAATATGAGTAGGACTGGAAAAAAATCTTCAATATACAGTTATATTTTAGTCAGCTAATCTCAACTTTTTTATACAAAGCTTTTAAACACTCTCCTAATAATAGAAGTTACGATTTTTCTAATGCCGAAATGTTGTATGAAATAAACTTTACGTATTTTCACCTAATGGCCATGTTCCAATGAACGTAAATGCTATTTTGTTGCAAATACGAACACTGTGTGTGTCCTAATCCTCTAAAAACCACAAAATAGACAAACTGGATAATAATTGACAGTCACAGTTATTGTGGGTCTTTAATATATACAAAACATTTCATTAAACATTGAACAATGCTAATTACCTATAAAGTGATATCATGTTAAATACACAGAAGATATCGAAAACAGTGTTGGTAACCTTTACTAATTGGTGCAAGTTACTTGAAAGTAATTGATAAAATGTCATATTTTCATTGCTAACCAGTGCTTGTTACGCGGAAGCAGCTAACAGAGCATCGAACGTCCTTGATTCATTATCCAATGTTACGTGGAACTAAAACCTTTTTTTTTGTTTGGAATTAAGCACAAAGCTACACAATGGGCTATCCGTGCTCTGCTCACTACGGGTATCGAAACCCGGTTTCTAGCGTTGTAAGTCCGCAGACATACCGCTGTGCCACTGGGGGGCGAATTAAAGCTGATGAACTATTTTTTTTTTTTACTAAACTATTCGACGTTACCTGGAATTAATTTGAAGAAGAAAAATTATCATTAAAGGGTATCTAATTTCTACACAAGAACCTTTCTGACTTTTCGAAACGAAATAGCTGTTTCAAAGAGTGGTCGGTTGATCGGGCTTTCTTCATTTTGTACTCATATGGATTGTTATGTAAAGCATATTTGCTCTTACTTGAGGACACCACAGGAACAAATATACCTCGAAACTGCAATTACCAGTTTGCTATGATATGAATGTCTGTTGTCCAATAAAAACAAATATAAAAATCCCTATCAACAACTGTAATTTTTTATAAAACATGTAACAAGTTGATAAAACATAATTAAATTTCAGTAATTATAAGCTGTACTTTCAACATAAGCAACAGAAACGTTTTAAGTAATTGGAATACGTTGTGTGAAAATAAATGAAATAATATCATTGAGGCCCGGCATGGCTAGCTCTTTGACTCGCAATCTGAGTGTTGCGAGTTCGAATCCCGATCCATCAAACATGCTCGATCATTCAGCCCATGGCCAGGTGGTTAGGGCGCTCGACTCACAGTCTGCGGGTCACGGGTTCGAATCCACGTCACACCAAACATACTCGCCCTTTCAGCCATGGGGGCGTTATAATGTGACGGTCAACCACTATTCGTTGGTAAAAGAGTAGTCCAAGAGTTGGCGGTGGGTGGTGATGACTAGCTGCCTTCCCTCTAGTTTTCACTGCTAAATTAGGGACGGCTAGCGAAGTTAGCCCTCGTGTAGATTTCTGCCAAATTCAAAACAACCCAATCTAATATCAACGATTGTTATTTACTATCAGTGAACATGAGGCGGAACTATTTTGTAGAACTTTCACAAATCACTTGGCGGAACTAGTTTGTAGGACATTCACAAATCACTTGGCGGAACTAGTTTGTAGAACATTCACAAATCACTTGGCGGAACTAGTTTGTAGAACATTCACAAATCACTTGGCGGAACTAGTTTGTAGGACATTCACAAATCACTTGGCGGAACTACTTTGTAGAACATTCACAAATCACTTGGCGGAACTAGTTTGTAGGACATTCACAAATCACTTGGCGGAACTAGTTTATAGAACTTTCACAAATCACTTGGCGGAACTTGTTTGTAGGACATTGACTAGCAACAACAAGGTTAAAGGAGGTTGATTTACAGTTGTCGTTCACAAGTCAACCTAACTGGTAATTTAATAACCATTGAATGTTTAGTGGAATGATTGACTAGCAGCAGTTGTGAGCTGTTTAGAAAACGTCTTGTGGAACTAACCAATGTATCATCAATAAATATGTATCATTAATCATTGAAATTAATTTCATACTGTTGAACAGTTGTCTCGTATGTATCAAACGAGTAACTGGCCTAGTATAAAGTACACCGCATTAATCATTACGATTAATTTCTGAATATATCAGCAATTGTATCTGTTTAAAGAAAGGGCACGGGATAACCCTGAGGTATAGCTCTGATTTCAGAGCTGGTGAGCCGGGTTCGAATCCATGGGATGCGACAAAAATTACCTGCACTTTAAATTCTGGATGCATTACAAGAGTGAGAGGCAATCTCTTAACGTACATGGTGGGCGGTAGTGTACTGTTGACTGGTTATCTTTTCTCTGGTCAATATCTCAAAATTAGAAACGGTGGCAGTTAACCTCAGTAGCTTTGTCGTAAATACAAATACTTTCATTAGTAAACTTCGGAAAAAATTATAAGTTGTAGCGTGATATGATATACAGGAAAACTCTATTAATATTGGTTTTAATTAGTAGATGTTTCCAGGAAATATTTCAATTATCATGAACTTTACTTTAATAATATCTA